ATGGTCAAATGACGCACAATTTTAAGCTTCTTGCTGCATAAATTAGACAGAGTGCGTCAGTTCACTGGAAAACTCTGACCTTTTCTCCTTAAAAATATATTAGGGAGAAAAGATTTGGATTGAGTTCTGTGTCAAAAATCTTCTATATTTACAGTGTACAACTGCATACATACAGAAGCAGACACTTAAGACATACAGGGAAATACAAACCAGTGCACATATAAAGAGTAGGTGCCAATAAAAACTGGCCAGTTACCAGCTTCAGCATCTAAATTTACTGCAGTATTTGGGTAGGATAGTATTTCCCATTCTAAGGACATAGGGAATATTATGGTAAAGGTAAACATCTGTTTCAAAGTGGCCCTCGCTACATCATTAAAAATCCAGGCCCTTATTAGGTACTGGGGTGAACAATCAGACCTTCTGCATTTACAGTTAACACAAAATGGTATCTGAGATACAGCAGGTATTTTTCAAGGTGATGGGGAAATATTGTGCAGTCTCAAGAGAGCATTTTTGATCACATATTAATCACGCAAGCACTAGAGTAGAACTCCGGTATGATTCTATGATTTGGACCATGATTGCAGATTACCCCTCAGAAATCAATGCTAATATTTGGATGATGTCCACAGTACATTACAGCTGCGCAAAAGTCAGTATTTTTATCTATACTAAATTTCAGCCAGTATTACACAACTGGAGTTTCTCTCTCTCTTTTTTAACCTCTCCCCAACTCCTTATAATTTGAGAACCATGGATATATTTTGCATTTAATTTAATTGCATGAATTTCCCAGCACAAAGCAGCCAGACAAGGGGCTGAGAATCTCGTGTGTGTGTGTGTGTACACATACACACTCAGACATTAGAGAGAGAGAGAGAGAATATTACCTTAGATATTTATGGTAATATTTTCAAAGCTGTCTGAGGGATTTTAACACCTAATACCCAAACAGATTCTGCTCCCAATGAGTTCTGGTTGCCCAGTTCTACTCTGAAAATATTACCTTGGAAATGGTTAATTACTTGGCTCCTTTCAGTCTCTAATCCCAGCAGTGGGCCAAATTGTGACCTCTTTTTCACCCATGAGACCCCACTGAAGTCAACGGAAGACAGAGCTTGACCCACTTTGTAAGTTACAGAAAGCAACTCTAGAAAATGAATAATACTGACATATATTTATGAGCTCCCATTAGCCTGGTGGTTATACTTACTGTAATAAGCACTCCTGTAGCTCATTGTGTCCCCTTATGCACCTATTTTTTAAACATTAAAAGTTAAATTGAGTCTTGTTTAACATAGTTCATTGATGTGAATGTAGTGATTTTAAATGTAGTGATGGGTATTGAATCAATTTCATTCGTGGTTGGGACTGTGTTATCAGAATGTTTTGATATTTTGTTTTTGGTTTTTGTCTCGAATTACCTGGGTCCAGCTGAGTTTCAAATTGGATGTTGGCAGAACAAGGACCAATTCACACAATGACCACAGCACTCCATTACAAAGTAAATATATATACCCACAACCTTTGGAAAAAGATCTTAGTTAGATTTCAACAGTTGGTCTAAATACGTGTTGTCTGACATTTCAATTTGAAGGAGTCATTGCTATAAAAGATGCTTTCAGAGTTTCCAGTGAAAGGTTCACATTATTTACTCATTATTTTGATTCAGACAAGAATAGGGTACAGAAGCCTTTTTGATGATTCTAAAATTGAGTGCTACTGATGGTGAATAGGCTGTTCTTTCCCTTCGCTTGTTTCTGTGCTTGCATCTGCTGTGGATATTGTTTTGAGCTGAACAATTCACCATGTTGCTTTGTCCTTCTCTTAGTATTATTTATTGCAAGCGTTTATATGGCACTCGCAGATGTAGTAACAGAGTTACTTGGCTTTGAATTAAACAGAAAACAATTTCCCAAGTATCGTGATTCAGGGTAAGATTTTTCAAAAATACTTAAGAACCTCTGTCCCATTTTCAAAAGAGACCAGATTTTCAAAAGCATTTAGGTGCCTAAACGTGCAGGTCAGCACCTAGTTGTGCAGGCATTTGAAAATCCAATTCATTCCCATTGACCTTCTGGGTGTCGGTTGATCCAAACAAAACATCCCACTCGTTGAGTTTTTTTCAACATACGTATTTAGTTAATAAGTCCTACGGGCTATTTTACTTGAAATTCCATAGCCCCAGGAACCTCCAGCAGTTTAATAAATTCACAGGCTACTCTTAATTCACCTAACTTCTGTGTGTGGGTGGTGGCTCCTCAGGACCCCACCCTTTGACGCACACCACATCGAGCCATTTCCAAAAAGGTTGAAGCATGCTGTTTAATACATTATTAAAATACGCTCTTTATTTATAACACAGAATGAAAAGGATTGTCTCTATTTTTATCTTCCTGGGAGTTTAAAAATAAAGAGCAGACCTGAATTATGCATTGAATAGTGTGTATAATGTATTGTTAGGGATTGAATCTGGTGTGTGCATCAGAGCTAACAGAACGAGGCTTATTTATAAAGTCTCAAAAAGTTCAGATTTGGTTCTCAGTTGCTCCTTTGCTGCCCGTGTCACTAAAGTGGGCATTGTGCTGTTGCTGAACTGAAATGGAACTCATCTTGACTAGAGTTTGAGATCTATATTTACAGTTAAGGTCTGCAGATGAAACAGAAATTAATGGATCCTCCACTACAGTTGATGATGTTCTATTGATTTGTATTAGCTGGCCATTTAGTTCCAACCTCAGTCTTGTTTAGGAGGCAAATAACATGATGTAGAACAGAGCATACATTTAAAAAAGGAAACACGGTCAAGGTATCCTTTAAACTGGATACCAGTCAGAATGTTAGACACCTGATCCATATACATGAACTGCCTTACCAACTTGCATCTAGTCAAGAAACATGTAACAACAAAGGTAAAAGCAGCACCGAATTCATCTCTGGAGGAACACTGTGAACTTCAGCTGAGTTACATCAATGAATTTCCCCAGTGTGGTATTCCAATGGAAGCCGCAACAGTATCTTAGCATTCTCTGTGAAAATGTACTGTACTGTCAGATATTTAGCTCTTCAGCTAAGACTCGTAAGCTCCTAAATGGAAATAAAAATCCATTCAGAGCTAAAGGTATTGCGGTTAGTTCTCAAACATGAGAGTTTTGCATGTTAAATAAATTGATCATTAAGGGAACTCAGCATTAGCCTAATTCTGCTCTCGCTGAGGTTATTGCTAAGTAGTTTTGAAAATCCCATCCTAAATGCCAAACATTAGATCTTGTCAGGAACTGCGGTTTTGTTCCCAGAAAAACAAAAATCGTCATTTTTGTTGACATTTCTCTTAATCTTTTGGTTTCTCGGATGCATTTTTTTAATGAATACCCCAACATTTTGATGAAAAAGGTGGGGTTGTATTGTTGGGGGGGGGATGTTGGTTTTTGTTTGTTTGTTTGTTTGTTTTTTTGGAAAAATTACTGCTTAGTCAAACCTCTTCTTTTTTTTTTTCAGGGGAGGACAGACTGGGGGAGTTGCAATGAAAAATTCCCAACCAGCTCTACCAAAGATGTAAGCAACTAGTAATTGATTATAGTCTTGCAGCAAAGTATTTTGTCATGACTCTCTTGCTTAGAAAAATTACCCATATTTGAATACTATTCCTTTCTACACATTCTATGACTAATAATAATCATTTTTTAAATTATCTCATTGATTTCAATAGGATTTAGACCCTGATCTCTTTCAGTGCCTCGTGGGATTTTCAAAAGTGCGTATCTGCATTTTTAAATACCTTTGAAAATCTGGCCCCAGGTGTTTAAGGGCTTGTTAGGGTCTAAAGGTCACAGTTGTGCTGCTGCAGTGCTTCAATATACACACTCTCTATGCCAACAGGAGTGATTCTTCTGTCAGTGCAGGAAAGCCACCTACAAGCTTAGGCAATGGGCAGGTCAACAGAAGAATTCTTCTGTCAACCTAATGGTGTCTACATGGGGATTTAGATCATCTTAACTATGCTTCTCAGGGGTGTGGATTTTTCACACCCCTGACAGATCCTTAAACCAACCTAATTTTCTAGTGTAGACCAGGCCTTGCTCCCCTTTGAAAGGGGGACCTAGGCTCCTAAGTCACTTGAGTGTGTTTCAAAATTATGCCCTCTGTCTTCAAATACAAATAGCATTATTTATTCATTTATTAAAATGAATAATTGCCATTGTTCTATCTAGCATGCATCACCTGGATTCACATGCACCACATTTGGAAATAAAACCCCCACGAGCAGGCTATAAATATTTCAGATGCAGGTAAAATTGAACTACTCTACTCCCTGAACTCTAGCCTTTGGCAACAATATAGGGAAATGTTTATTAGTAAATGATTTGCAAGAGAGAACAAAGCTTGTATAAAAGAGAGGAGAAAACTATTGTTGCTGGAAATTGAGTCCCAAAGCATGTTCTGTATCCTATTGCTTTTCACCCTTTGATCTATATTTACAAATAGACTTAAAATGGCAGATTAGCAAAAATAGGAATGGAAAAAAGAAAAGTTCCCAACCACCTGGCTCACGAGCTCAATATCAAGTTCTGGTAAAGCCTTGGGTGGGTTAAAGTAGCAAGGGATTAGAAGGAATGAAGGATATTAATCCAGCTTTCCCCATAGAGGACAGGTTACATCTTCTGTTCCCATCAGCTGCAGTATAATTTTATATTTTCTATGCAAGAGAAGTTTTTGGATGGGGAAGTGCACATACTAACCACCCAAAGACGGTGGTGGCTGGCTACTACTTAGAGCTAATGGGATAATTTTAGAAAGAAATCTTGGAATAGTGGATGGAAAAATGACAGTCTAAGAACAGGGGCTGTCTTTCAGAAATCTGGAAATACATTTGTTTTTTCAGATCACTGCTTAGGTCCATGAACTGTGAAAAATAAGACTTATTTGGGGAGAAGGGGGTAAAATATGTCAGTGATTTGTGAGACATCAGAAGTTAATGATCCATTTTATTTCCAAATTGTTCTTAAATTGTGGAACCAGGCATTCGAAATGTAGTCATAGTAAAATAACATCCCATTCTGGCAGATACTGAAATGCATACTTTACATATATAAAAACACTGAGACCCAAGCCCACCAATCTGATTTTCGTAAGTGTGACTGCTGCTTCCCATCTTGATGTGTCTCCTTAGCAAGGTGATGGTTATTTTGCGTCACGTTCTCTGCTCGTTTACACAGGTTTCCACACTTTCAAGAAACTCTGCGTGGGTCTTGTCCACTGAGTGTAATTGGCATGCCGCAAAAAAAGAGATATAGAGAGATGACCAATAGTAGGGCGACTTCCTAAATATTCTGTTACTGCATGTAACTTAAGATGAAAGTGTATTTTCATCTTTCATCTAAACATTAATATTTCAATATTTAGGTGTAATCTCTAAATATTAATGTTTTTTCTAAGGCAGAGGTTGCATTGATCATTTTCCCTTAGATTGTGATTACCTTGGAACAGGCATTCTTCTTGATTGTCTGAAAAGTACTTACCACATCATGTGAGCTGCTTCACTATAATAATAATAATTATATTTAATACTTTTCATTAGATTGGTTTCATTTCTTCATGAGATCATCATGTGGTTTCCACCATCATCCACACATACCAGAGAGTACATTGTTTTAAGAGTGGTACCAAATTCCATTAAATTACATGATTAAAATAGTATTACCACCAGTTGCTGTGGGTTAACTTCAACATTATCAGAGTTTGGTACAACTTTGAGAAGGATTCAACATTTTGCATGCTTTTCTGGATCTCTTGTGTCTGCCAGACTGGGTTGGAAGTCTCAAGAACAAAATAAAAAGCTTTTTCATGATATCTCTGTTTCTGTTCCTTTTTGAACTCTTCAAAAGAAGACTTTAGTGCACTATTCTGGCACTATCAATTCTGGTCCTAGGTAAACAATGGAAGTGGAAAAAACACATATATCCAAATATTTCACAACTTGAAGAAAGGTGTGTTTCTAAAAGTGAGAGAATGTTCAGGTGTGGCGGGGTGGTCTTAATTTTTACAAATGGGCATGCTTGCCTCGAAGGGTAATCCCTTCCCCACAAAAAAGGAAAATCTAACGAAAACCACTTGCCCCCCAGGGTGTTTTGAAGGGGTTTGAAGGGAAGACAGGAGGAACTTTGTATCTTTCAGGTAACAATCTCTTGCAAAACCTAGATTGCAAATTCCAAAATATTTTTTTAAAAAGTTTTGTGCATAGTTTAGCCACACAATTGACACATGCCCTGATATTTCCAGCCATGTACTGCAATCTGTTTTAGCAAGGAGCCATGTTGGGCAGAGGGAGAGAAGATGATGATGCAAAAGAAATGTTGTTGTTAGACTCTGATTAATCAGAGTCTTTCCTCTACACTGTAAGGGTGAATGTCTTGTGCACAGGGGAAATGCTCCCAAGCAATATTCTGTTTCTACCGTATATTGAACATTTCAACTTCCTTCCCCGTGAACATCTGCCCTTGTGCTTTCTGGTTCCTAGCATGTAGGTATCTAACAAAGCCATTTGATGACAATGTGTTTGGTACCTTTAGGAGATGCTTAGCCCCTAAAGCTGGGTGAAATAGTTTTAGACAAATAGTTTAGCAAAAAATGCAGTTTTGGTCAACCCAAAACTAGTGGCGAACTTCACACGAGTATTTTCAGCTATTCATAATAAGGAGGATATGATAGTGCTGGTGTTTACCACCTTCCTGAGCTTTATCCCGCTGGTTAGGGCATTCACCAGGGGTGTGGGAGACTCAGCTTTGAATTTCTACTCTGGCACAGACCCAGAATAGACTTTTTGAATTCCTAGAAAATACCAAAAACATTGTCGTTCTGATGCAAGATTTTTTTTTATTATTCCTGCTATGTTTTGGAGCTGCCACTGACCTGAAAAAATCAGTTATTCTCCCAGTTCTATTTAGCACCTAGCAGGATAAATTTTCACAGCTCCAAATGCTTGCTTTTTTTTTTTTTTACTAAGATTCTGACTTTTGAACTATGTGAATTTTCCACTTGAAACCAGCTGATTTGTGCTAATGCCACAAAAGTTTTGAGTTCCCCAAACTGGTTCAATCTATCAGAGTCCAATAAACTTAAACTATCACAGCTGGAGAAGATTAGGAGCTGCCTAAATATAATGAGATGTGTGTATAGACTTCAAATTGTCATGCATTTCTCTGATTAACAACACAGAATTCAATTATTTCAACTGGGGTAAATGAAATGGAAAGTTCCATTCCAGAACTCCTTGCAACGACTAAAAAACTGTCAAGTTTATTCAGTTGTGCATGCTTAACATATGTGCTCCAATTGCCATATGCTAAATGCCTGATAGCAGACACTTTCATTCAAGGACAGACTATAGCGAGTAGGAGGAATGGAAACAGTTGTGTCAGGTGTCTAGCTTAAAAACATTTTCTAGAGGGCATCAACCTTTTAACTAAGCAGCAATATATTGGCCTTGTAATAATAGACAGAAAGAGCAAGACAGACAATAAAGAACAGCTTGAAATAAGGCTTCCAGTGTAGATTTCCAGCATTTTTATTATGGATTATTTTTAATTATGATTTTTTTCCCTTCCAAAATGGTTTATGCCAGGGGTTAGGAATTATCCCTGTTCTATTAATTTAGATGGAATATATGGGTCAAAGGTGTTAACAACCCTGTCACTGCCCAACATTAAACAGTGTTAAACAAGGTCCAGGAGTTGGTATACAGGGACCTTAGGCTGCTTAGTATCATTACAATCATTTAACTTTTCATTAAAGGTCCAGAAAAGAAGAGGAAATCGTTAAAGCATTTGAAAGGGAAAGTATTAATTAAGGCCTTAATTTTAACAACATTTCTTGTTCCGTTTCTCCAGAGAGTGTTTTTGGGAGGCAGAACACCTGGTTTGACAGTTTTGTGGAGGGTAGTAAAGATGATGGTAACTGCATTTTGGGGGGAAAGAAAATTTGAGATGGGCTCCTGCTGTTGCTATAAAAACAGGTACTAGGGATTCAGCCATTAGCTGGTAGAGGTGGTGATGTCATTTGGATCCCTCCCTCTGGCCTATTCTGGTCAGGACATCTCTCAGGATCAGGATGATGAAGGCCAGGGTCACAGTGGGGCTGGCAGCCATGATAGGGAAGCTCACTCTAATAGTCCCCGTTCTTCTTTCTCTCTGTCGGTTCTTTCTTTAGGGACCGAAAAGGGAGCGATGGCTAAAATGGCCCATCCCCTCATTATTTTGTTCAACAACAACAATTTTGGTTCACTAATTTCCATCTCCATATCATCTGGTTTTAACGAGCATAATTTCAACAGTCCTGGGATTAAATCAAAGTGGCCTTTTTTTTAATTTAGACTAATCCAATTTCTCTGTCTGGTTTTCTTGCACCCATTCCCATCAACATCTGTTAGTCTAGGTTATTGGGACATTTTATGAACTTATATTCACTTTTTACAGCTAAACTCACAATTAGGGTAAATGTTGTAGGCCCAGTTATCACAACATACTTGACCTGACTCATCCCTACTTTATTTCTCATCGGTTTTCTGTTAATTTCTGCTAACAGGTACTTTCCAGACTAGTGCTCATGTTCATCACTGCATGCACTCTTCAGGCCATTGCCTTTCTATGGATAAGAAGCAGAGAGTCTGCTTTTGGGCCTTGTTATCCTCATTATCCTCATTTCTGTTCCTAAATAGTGAGGCCAAAAAATGTCAGACTTATCTGCCTAATGTTACATGCGAAATCTGTTTCATGTACAGCATGCTCCACCAGAGCTAATGGAAATTTTCTGTGCTCCTCCCTCCAAGTGCCATGCAAGATGCTACATAATCCATTTCTAGTTACCAAAATAAGTGATCTGCTTTTCAGAGATGCTGCATGTTCACAGCTCCCACAGAACCCAGATAACTTCTGTAGATGTTTAAATTTGGAGTGAGAAGCATACATTTAGGTAACTATGTCTGAAAATTTTGGTACATGACTTTTCTCTCTCAGAAATATTATGAGTCAAAATTTCAATTATAACCTAAGATAAAGAAAAGGAGTACTTGTGGCACCTTAGAGACTAACAAATTTATTTGAGCATAAACTTTTTGTGATGCATCCGATGAAGTGAGCTGTAGCTCACAAAAGCTTATGCTCAAATAAATTTGTTAGTCTCTAAGGTGCCACAAGTACTCCTTTTCTCTTTGTGAATTCAGACTAACACGGCTGCTGCTCTGAAACCTAATGTAGGCATTTATTCAGCCTCCATTACCATAGCATCTGAACACCTCACAAAATTGAATGCATTTATCCTGACATCCACCCTATGAGATAGGGGGAAGTGTCTTCTATTTTATAGATGGGAAACTGAGGCACAGAGAGTAAGTGACTTGCTTTAGGTCACATAAAGTCTGTGGCACAGTTTGCAATAGAACCCGAATCTTCTGAGCCCCGCACTGGCTCCCTAACCACTGAATCATCCTTCATTTCACCAGCTGCTGTATAAGCCTCTGTCCTTTCTGTCTACAAGCCCAGTCTTTGTGAATGGGCTCCAATGGGTAATGTCATGCAAATGGACAGGCTGAAAACAGGAGTTTTGCCTCAGCCAGAACAGAGTAAAACTGAAATAAGAACTTGTGGCATTTTACCCACAAGTAGGAAGCCAAGGTCTCCACCCTGAGAAACTTGAAATGGACAACTTGACAAGACATGGGATAAATACTTATATAATGCTGTACGTGGTGTGACTTGTTACCCATTACTGAATTCTCGAAGCACCTCTCTTATCTTAGGCAGATAGAGTTGTGCCCATTCTACAAATGAAGAAACAGGCAGGGAGCGGCTGGGTAGCTTGCCCAAAGCTGGGAATCAAGTCCTTAGAACTTGGGTCTTTCCAGAGATCTGTTCACTGGTCAAGTGATACAGCAATATTAGACAACATTCCCAGGCAAATGAGGGTCCTCTCTTCTTTGCAGGGAGTCAGGGTAAGGAAAGAAGAAACTGCTCACTGACGAGGGGGAAAAAATAAATGCCAGGTTGGAGATAAGTGTTCAAAAATAAGCAAGGACAGCTGTGATGCTACACCCAATGGCAACCATGAAAAACAAAGCTGTAAAATAAATACGCACAAGGGGAAAGGTTAGGCGATTGCTGCTTTCTGCAAAAGTGTGACAGTAGCCCACGTAACACTGCTCTTGTCTCACAAAAGAAAAAGAGCTGGTTGCCACTCTACACCGCTGCTTCTTGTGAAATGTCAGCAGCCCTATGAATAGGTGACATGGCTTGGATAAAATAAGAACTGATCTGAATCTTCACCCACTGCGTCTCTAGCTGTTTGTCTATGGAACTCTGTCTTTCTGCCTGCACTTATAAGGCTTTAGCCACTGTACGGTGTAGGTGCGATATACAATGTTACAATAAGCACAATAGCCAGACTTCAGTGGTTGAATGTGCCTCTTGCTTCTGGTTGCAGCCGGAAGCGGAAGTTACAACACAGTTACAGGAAAGATTAGTCTGCATATTCCCAGGCTGCACAGACAATGGGAAGGCACTGTGAATTATGGAAGGAGGTACATATTCTGGTGGACCAGGGTAACAGAGAGAGTTCAGATAAATTAAGGTGAAGCATCAAAACTGACTAGACACTTCAATCCTTTGGAGACTAATCCCTGATTAGATTCTTAGTATATGGGCCATCTCCTCTTAAGCCTTGCTTGTTGCCTTTTCCTAGGAAGCATGCTTGAGATGTGAATGAAGACTAAGTGTAGCTTAGTCCTGTGCTACCAACCAAACTATAGGAGAACTTTTGCCCTCAGTGAGCCCAAGGTGCTCATCATTTCAGGCGAGTGTCGTTCACCACTTTATTTCTTTTCTCCAATGGAACAAGTGCTTCAATAATTGGTATGCTACTAGCTAAAATATTATGAAGTCGACGTCAATGGAAGTTTAGCCTAAAGAAGAATTGCAGAGTTGGGCCTTAATGACTTGTTCTGCAGTCTTCATCCAGCCTGTAAGCCGGTGGTGGGCAACCTGTGGCCCATCAGGGTAATCTGATTGTGGGCCGCGAGACATTTTGCTGACGTTGACCGTCCACAGACGTGGCGCCCCACAGCTCCCAGTGGCTGTGGTTTGCCGTTCCCGGCCAATGGGAGCTATGGGAAGCGGTGTAGGTCATCAGCCACCTTGACCTCAAATAAAGCTGAGTTCTGTGCAGAGAGATGCTATTGCTCAAAACAAAGAATAGAAAAGGAACTCTTGTCACTTAGAACGACAACTGTCTTATTGCAGCTGTTGAGACAAAAGTACCCTGTCCATCAGGGCAGATGTCATTATTCTGATTCCAAATACTATATGATAGTTGAGTTCTTTGGTTGTTAACTGACAGAACAGTATCTTATTCTAAGGCCCCAATTCAGTCAAACATCTAAGCATGTTCATAAATTCATCCCTGTTCAGTACAGCACATAAGTACATGCCTAACTTTAACTGCTTGCTTAAGTCACATTGAAACTTAAGAAGGCGGCTAAAGTTTGACACATGCATAAGTAGGTTGTCTTATTAAAAAGGATCAACTACTGAACCAAGGGCAATATTAATTTCATTAGACTTTTTAAAATAAATCTTTATGGCTATGAAAGTGGCAAGGGCTAATTTCAACTCCAGCTGAACTTTCCTATTGTCTGTACACTGGAATTAATTTTTAGAATAGGATAGGCAGAAGGCAAATCTGCAAATGATCCAAGCTTCTTTACTTTTTTACTGCTTCACACCTGGTGCTAAATCAAAGAAAATAACCATTTGTAAGAATAACCTATCAATGAGCCTCAGTTATCTGAATGGCTCCGCTGTCATCTGTAGAGGTTTCAAGAGCTTTTAGCACTTATCAAAAACCCCTGGATGTGCCCCCTCCCTATTGTATTACTATTCAAATGAAAATATCTTAACATCTGAAATTTTTATAGACCTGTATTGGGATCCTTTTTGTTTTGTGCACCACTTGCACCAGAATCTATTTTTTTATGAAGCTGTGGCCATAGTTTCATTTTGTCATACAATGTAAAATAAATCAGTTTTGCCTGGAGCCTTAATTAAGGGCAGGAACACAGTGTTTGTTCTTTTGTCCATTAAAAAAACGGTATGAGCTGACGAGTAATTTTGTTCACTGAATAAAAAATGGGGAAAATGCAGCATGACATTGTTAGTTTTATCATGGAAAATATTTCTCTTGCTAGTGGTGTTCCGTTAAATTGGCAGCTTCGTCGGGTGCTCCTTAACTGGACACCACATCAAAGTCAAATTAGAAGGCCGTGGTTTTATAGATTCGCAACCATGATAATCAACAATAACAACATTAATGAAGTCCCTGGGGTCACTTTGTGCAGCTATTACAAATTCTTGGTCTTGGGTGGTGCAGATGCTTCGTTCCTACTGCACATAATTGAGGAAAGATACTCAAAGCTGTCACTTAGTCATGGATCATTCTACTTGAGAAGGCATGAAAGCAGTCATGGTTCCCTGTAAATGAAAGTTAAAGGGGGCTGTGCACCTCCCAGAATATGCAAGATCAGCTCCTGTGTCTCCAAAATGAGGATCTGTATTGATACCCAGGTGCAGCTGGGAGAAATGTTTCAACTGAAACTTTGGTTTTTCCCCAGCAAAAAATGCAGATTTGGCAAAAACAAAATATTTTGTGAACTCATGTCAGCTTAACCAAATTGTTTCAGTCAGAAGAGAAACCTGAAAAACCTAAATCAGGGATCGACAACCTTTGGCACGCGGACTGCAGGGAAATCTGCTGGCAGGCTGGGACGGTTTGTTTACCTGCAGGGTCCACAGGTTCGGCCGATCACAGCTCTCACTGGCCGCGGTTCTCCGTCCCTGGCCAATGGGGGCTGTGGGCAGCGGCACGGGCTGACGGATGTGCTGGCTGCCACTTCCCACAGCCCCCCCTTGGCGTGGAACGACGAACCACGGCCAGTGAGAGTTGCAATCGGCCGAACCTGCGGATGCTGCAGGTAAACAAACCGTCCCATGCCAGCGGATTTCCCTACAGTCTGCATGCTAAAGGCTGCCGATCCCTGACATAAAGATATCGTTTTGACATTTTTGAAACCACACATTTCATTTTTTAATTCGAAACCCTTTTTTATTTTGTAACTTTCTTTAATTTTATTTAAAAAAAATAAAATAAAATTCTGAAGGTCAGAATGAAACACGTCATTTCATTCAACCCAAAACAGTTGTTTTCTTTTTTAGAATTGCCAGGGAACTGAAAAAAAAATTATTATTCACACAGCTCCATAACTAGGTGTAGCAACCTTCTTCCAAATGCTACCTCAGGCAAATGGGACTCACCTTGCCCTCACCGTCCACAAAGATGTGGATTTCAGGAATGGGCTATCCCAGTGCAGGACACGGCCACTGGTGAACCTTCTTCCACTCACTGAAGACATCATTCCAGTGATCCTGTAATAGTCAATTACCAGTACATTTAAGGGCATGATATTCAGGGGTGCTGAGCATCCACAGCTCCCATGAACTTGAAATGTATCTGCAGATGGTCAGTGTGACAGGTTAATCTCCTGGACAAACCTTACTGAATTCAGTTTAAGTATTTTAAGAGTTCATTGCATTAAAAATTCAGATGTTTATGGACTTTTGAGGGAGTGTATGTCATTCTATGAGGGAGGGGTGATCACTGCTCTTCAGGAACAGTTGGGGGTAGTTAGGCAAATTCACTCAGGTTGTACCATCCCAAGAGAGGTACCACCAACTGGAGAGGGGCTTGGATATACTGAGTCAAACTGGATTTTCCAGGGACCAGCAAAGGCTTCTTGGTTAAATAGCCTGAGTTAAAACTGAGTCGGGGCCTTCTTTCTGATCCAGCTACTGGGAAGAGCCCTTGGCCTAAGGTGGGCCTCAATTCTTAGGGAAGGTTTGGGAGGTCTTTGGGTCACTGAGGCCCCATATGATTAGGGGCCTTGTTCTGAGTGAAAGCTATGATGAACTTGTAATCACAAAAAAACACCCTGTGTGGGGTTTGAAGGACCAATCACCAACTGGACCCCTTGCTGGAGTGAGGGGGTGATCTCTGGCTATCTTATTAGGATGTGTGTAGATTCTTTTTATTATTTTAATATATTTTCTCTGTAACGGTTTTACCTCAAGAAGGAATGAGCTTGCTTGGAAAGAACCATGTGACAACTTCACTGTGTAATTACGCTGTGTACCGTCTTTGTGGAGAGAAGTGAAGCATCCTGGTTAAGCAGCTTGTCTTTTGCTGAAGAACCACACTGAAGGCAGAGAACTGTAAATACCCTGGTGAGAAGGGAGAGAGGTGGGTCTCGGTCAAGAGAAGTGAAAGCTGAGGAGTCTGGAGCCATGTGTGTGTGCCCGTTCTGAGACATAGAAGACAAATACAGTTGCAGTTGCCTTGAACTGTGACCGTCGACATCTCTAAAAATCAACCTGGGGGTGCAACAAACTGCCTGAGGCAGTAGTTATAATGAGCAACAGCAAGCAAATATATGAAAATCCCCAACCAGCTAGCTAATATGCTATCTGACAAAATTCCTTCCCAGCAACAGGCATTGGCAAGGGACATCATTCAGGTCTCCTAGAATCACGCCGTGTATTATTAGCACACTGTTGTTGGTGCTATTTCAGAATTTCCAGTACACCAACTGATAATTTTAGTCAGTACGGTCAGAAAGAATACCACCAATAAACTATTTTAGTGTTAAGTACATCAGCAGTTGCTAATACTGTACTTTACAAGGCTCAATAAGTTATTGAGCTAAGCTGTCAGTTTACAGTGTTTGGTTTTATTTTGCATTTAACCTACATACTTGTGCTTAGAGTATATGAAAAATGTGTTTTATTTTCCACAGAGAGAAATCTTTGCTTGCTGCAGTTGATGGGTGTCACCGATTGTGGTTAGAGGCATGTAAATGTTGTGTTGATAAATACGTTTTGCGAGATTCATTGTTCGACATGTGACAAAAATGCAGTTTGCTGTATTGTAATTTGATTAAATTTTAACCTTGCAAAAACAAAGCGAATATGCAAGAAAAATGGTATAAAGTAGGTTGTGATTCTGTAACAAAGGGTTTATAATTGTCTAGATTCATGGGTGATATCTTAGCCCCATTGAAATCAGTGGGAGTTTTGCCGTTGACAAAAATTGCCACTCTTTTCAAGAAAGTGTACCTTTCCCATGCAAATTTTCATTTTGTCAAAAGAAAAAACAAACCAGTTCTACGTTTATGCTTTAAAATAATACATCCAAAGGAAACATTTTTTGAAAAGCATCCATCTAAACACACCTGTGTATACCAAAGGGTATGTCTACACTGCAGTTAGAAACCTCCAGCTGGCCCATGCCAGCTGACTCGAGCTTGCACGGCTTGGGCTAAGGAGCTGTTTAATTGTAGTGTAGATGTTTGGGCTCAGGCTGGAGCCTGGCCTGTAGGACCCTGAGAGGTGGGAGAGTCCCGGAGCTCAGGCTGCAGTCCAAGCCCAAATATCTACACCTCAACTCACCCCTGTGAGCCTGAGCAGTTGCGTGGGCCAGTGACTGGTATTTAATTGCAGTGTTGTCATATCCTCAGAGCACATGTATTCTAAGTCTTGACCCACACTTGAAACTTGAAAGCAGTAGGTCAGACTAGATCATCACAATGATAGTCCCTTCTTGCCTTGGAATCTATGAATCTTGTACTTTTTGCACAAGCAATGAAAACCTTTGAATTCAAAAGGCATCTCAGTTTGTTAACTATATCAGGAACAAAACGAAGCATGCACAATTCTAGTTAACTTTCAGTGGCAATTTTTTCATGTGTCTGAGGGGAGTCTAGAGCCCTAAGACTTTAAACAGTGTCTTGGACTACACAGTGCCATGGCAATGAGATTGAAAATATGGCATGTCACAAACTGCAATGATGAGAGGCAGTATTGGCATGATCTGGCTGAAAAGGAATCATCAAGCTGGATGCTGCTTTAGAGCTTGATCCAAAGCTTATTAAGTCAACAGGAGTCTTATCCACTGGGCTTTGGATGATAGAATTATAGGACTGGAAGGAACCTCGAGAATTCTTCTAGTCCTGTCCGCTGCACTCAAGGCAGGACGAAGTATTATCTAAGCCATCCCTGACAGGTGTTTGTCTAACCAGCTCTTAAAAACCTCCAATGACAGAGATTCCGCAACCTCTCTAGGCAATTTATTCCAGTGCTTAACTACCCTGAAGTTTTTCCTAATGTCCAATTTAAGTCCATTGCTTCTTGTCCTATTCAATTTTTCTTCCTCCTTGTAACAACCTTCTATGTACTTGAAAACTGTCCCCCGTCAATCTTCTCTTCTCCAGATGAAACAAACCCAATTTTTTTCAATCTTCCCTCATAGGTCGTGTTGTCTAGACCTTTAATAATTTTTGTTGCTCTTCTCTGGATTTTTCTCCAATTTGTCCACATCTTTCCTGAAATGTGGCACTCAGAACTGGACACAATACTCCAGTTGAGGCCTAATCACTGTGGAATAGAGTAGAAGAATTACTTCTCATGTCTTGCTTACAACACTCCTGCTAATACATCCCAGAAAGATGTTCGCTTTTTTTGCAACAGTGTTACACTGCTGACTCATACTTAGCTTGTGGTCCAGTATGACTCCCAGATCTCTTTCCACAGTACTCCTTCCTAGGCAGTCATTTCCCATTTTGTATGTGTTCAACTGATTGTTCCTTCCTAAGTGGAGTACTTTGCATTTGTCCTTATTGAATTTCATCCTATTTACTTCAGATCATTTCTCCAGTTTGTCCAGATCATTCTGTATTTTAATTCTATCCTCCAAAGCACTTGCAACCCCTCCCAGCTTGGTATTGTCCGCAAACTTTATAAGGGTACTCTCTATGCCATTTTCTAAATCATTGATGAAGATGTTGAACAGAACCAGACCCAGAACTGATCCCTGCCAGACTCCACTTGATATGCCCTTCTAGCTTGACTGTAAACCACTGATATCTCCTTTCTGGGAAAAGTTTTCCAACCAGTTATGCACTTACCTTATAGTAGCTCCATCTAGGTTGTATTTCCCTAGTCTGTTTATGAGGTCATTAGAGACAGTAACAAATGCCTTACTAAAGTCAAGATGTACTACATTTACCGCTTCCCCCCATCCACAGGGCTTGTTACCCTGTCAAAAAGCATCATGCCCTTTATTACTACCATATAACACAGCTCAGTCACTCCTGTGTATTAATTCTGCTGCTATAGATGTGTCCCAATTCTGATGCTTTTATTATTTCCAATACTCCTGAAGGGGCGTAGGCAGGAATATTACTAGTTAAAAATGTTTTGGATCCATTTGTGCTGTACATGACAAGCTTAAAAACAAGTCACCCGAATTTCTCTTCCAGCCATCACTGGAGTGCGAATTGGACTAGGCCGTGTTCCTGCCAAACTCAAAGCTACAGGGCCTTACTGTTTTGGCGAAGAGTACAAACAATTTCCATTGTGCTGTTCAGGGGGGAAAGTATATACAAAGCTGTTGAATCTTGCAGTTTTATGTGTTTTCATTTGGCAGATGGAAACCATAAGCATTGAACAAATCTGTTTATCTAACAGGTCAAATTTCTGATGTATTTTAGCAAGTGAAAGTCATCATTAGTGTGTCCATTCCTTTAAAAGTGTGAACCAGTTCATGCAGAACAAAGAACAGAAAGCGAACGGTGGTGGAATACAGCCTGCCAAAGGCAGGATCGCTTTATAATCTATCCATTTCTTCCAATGTCTTTGAAAAGCATCATTACAACTGTATACATCTTCCTAATTTATCTCTGGCCATCACCCCCGAGTTTATCTGATAAAAGCTCTTTTGTTTCATTCTTATTAATCTTAGCTCCTCATCTATTCCGGCTTCTGATGCTGCTGCCGTCACAGTGGTATTTGAATGCACCATAACACTCGTGATTCAATATAGAGCACAGGAGTGGGACTCGGGTTATGTTAGAGTGACCAAATAGCAAGTGTAAAAAAATCGGGACAGGGGTGGGGGGTAATAGGTGTCTATATAAGAAAAAGCTCCCAAAATCTGGACTGTCCCTATAAAATTGGGACATCTGGTCACTCTAGGTTATGTCTATGCTGCGAGCTAGGAGCATTGTTCTTCTGCTGGTGTGCACATGCTCGCCGTTGTGCTCCTCAAGCTAGCGGGAGTATAAATAGCAGTGTAATCGCAGTAGCATGGCAGCAGATGCATGGCTGAGCTGTGCCAAGTACAACCTCACCTGAATCCATTGGGTGTGCATTCAGCTTGGTTTAGCTATGCCTCCACTGCCCTGCTATTGGTACTCTCGCTAGCATGATGAGCGCAAATGTGAGTGAGTGTGTACAGTAGCAGGGGAATCACACCCCTAGCTTGTTGTGTAGACATAGCTTCAGAAGACTCGGGTTCTACTCCTGGTTCTGTCATGGGCCTGCTGGGTGATCTTGGGCAAGTCACTTTACCCCATCTGTGCCTCAGTTTCCCCACCTTTAAAACTGGGATAATTATATTTACCTACCTCCTTTCTAAAGCACTTTCCCATATACAAATGGAAGCCCTATATAAGAGGTAGGCATTATTTATTATTTCTCTGTAGTGCCTAGAAGCTGCAACTGAGATTGGGACCCCTCACTGCTAGGCACTATACATTCATACGCGTAGCAAGACAAAGTCCCTGTGCTGAAGAGCTTCCTATCTATGTGGACAAGGTAGACAAAGGGAAGGATGATCCATGTTTATTTTATGGATCAGAAACTGAGGCACAAAGAGATTGAGTGACTTGTCCAAGATCACACAGGAAATCTGTGGCAGAGACAGCAATTCAATTTAGATCTCTTTGATCCCCAGTCCAGCACTTGAACCTGAAAACCATTAAGAAGCCATTTGTAGATTTCAAAAAATAACACACAGCATTTTCCATCCATATGTATTCAAGTTTTTTTCAGTGAGTCTGATTCAGCTCTCTTCACATTCCTTTGGATTTGTTTCCTGGGTATAGTTTATAGAGCAAGTTTTACGAGAACAAATGCTTGCGCACTACAAAGTGAGTTCCAATATTGGAACCAAACCATGCTCGCGATCATGCAGTCCATTTTCTCAGTCAGCTCTAACTGCAATGCTGGAAGGTGTAAATGTCTGCCATCACCAGGTCCATCCATCTATATACATTAAAGATGGTAAGATGTCAGATGTCAGAGGCTGTGTGTGTCCCCCCCCCTTTCCTCCTCCTAATTTTCCAATTTTCACCAGAATCAACAAGG